GTGAAATATTCCTATGAGATCAAGGAAGACAAGTGTGTTAGCAGTATGAAAGAGGGCTTTAAAAGTTAAAAAAATTGTGATACTTTAATTAGAGATGTCATCGCAAAGGTGATGCGTTAATGCCGCGTGCCACTCTCCCCATTTTCCCAAAGCTGCTCTCAGAGGGAAGACCTTGATGTAGATTCCATACAGTGTGTTCAGTCTCATCTTAAGGAGATGCTTCTTTGTAAGGGAACACAGACTGCATATTTGAAGACTACTCAGCAGAAGATTCAACCAGTATTACCTGTAGGGTCTGCTGGTGTTCACTGCCATGAAGCAGTGTCTTCTCCAGTTGTAAGTTTGTTGGGGTTTTTGTTCTTCCATCAGCTGCTCGACGAGAGGCCAAAATGAACAGTAAAGGTTTAGAGAGGTCCTAACTCTAGGAGAGCTGCTGGCTTTCTAAGGTTGGGGTTGCTGCACTTAAGCACCATAGCACAATGCAGTCTGGTCCCAGATTTGGCAATGGTACGTTGGTACGTTGAACATCTCTTAGTGATTTCCACTGTTGAATTTGAATCCCAATTAAAGACAGATTTTACATTACAGAATCTGCTTTTGTCAAAGAGCAGTGCCTTGGATGCTGGTAGGGTGAGAGATAAATAAATGGATGTGGTACCATGGGATATATACTCCCCTCCTAGGTTTAAACTCTGTGTCATGTAGCCAGATATTCTCACCAGACATTTCTAGAGGTGGAGAAGATAAAAATAAATGAACAAGAAAAATTCAGTTTTACCAAGCGAAGCAGCTGTCACAAAGGACATCAATGGGATATGTACGTTTGGCCTTTTAGTAATGTATAATTACTGTAAGACTCCTAATTAGTTGCCTTTCGATGGTACCTCTTTTAATACCAATTTGTAAGTGTCTCAGAAAGAAGGTTTACATTTTGTTTCTGTTTTGTAACCTCAAGACAAAATCAAGAAACCATGAGCATATTCCCTTATTTGGGAAAAAAAAAATCTCGCTCTGCAATTTATTAACATTTATTTACATTGAGTGTACATTCTGTGTGTGGTGCTGTATAACCACGTAATGAAAGGGATCACCATCATGAGATTTGTCTTTTATGCCTGGTATGTTCTTGCTCTTCTCTCGATATCCAATGGTAGCCACTGCTGGAGACACGAAAGGTCCACATTTTTATTTTGCATGAGGCTTGCAGGGGTTCTTTGGAAGTTGTTCACCCAGTTGAGCAGCATTTGGAAGAGGGATCAGGCAGGGGAAGAGAAGAAAACCACAGCAGAGAGAGGAACTGCTTTAGCTTGGGAAGCAAGGGCAGGGTCTTCGAGGAGGTAGACATGCAGCATCCTTTAATAGGTGTTGGGTTCTTCAGGAATAGGACTGATCTTCTGTGACTTTGGGTACCTGAATGAGGATAATGCTTGCTATAGTTCCTTCTGCTTTCTGTGGGGAGAGAGACTAGAGAGCATCTGGGGTCCTGACTTTGGCTGCATGTTAAATTCTTGAAGTGAGGTGGGATGAAACTAGTTCAGAACTTTCCTAGCTCCCTCTGAAATTTCCCATCGTTATCAGGATCACCAGGGATCTCAGATAAAACCCATCACACCATCAGCTCCCAAGCACACCTGTCTCATGCCTTCTTCCCTTCAAAGGTCCTCCATCTGGGCTAAGCCTCCTTCTGCTGGTCACTGAGAGGCTTTTCCAGGAGCTTGACGCTGCTGGTTTTTCTATGCTGGAGCTTCATCTGACCACAGGGTCATTGGAGCAAGTGCCAAACCCACCTAAACCACGACAGCTCAGCTTAAAAGCAAAGACACAGGCCGATTCTTGTCCCTTGTGCTTGCCTTTCCACAGTTCCCGCTCCCCTGCCCAACTTCTCCCAGTTGGTGTCTCTGTCTCAAGAGACACTGTTGCTTTAACAGTTGTTTTGTTTCATTTAAATGCCTTCCTCAGCCCCTGTCCAAAATTCAAACATTTCATTAGCACCTCATCTTCTTGGCTTCAGCCCGCAGCACTCAGCCATAATGAAGTGCTGCACTCATAAATATAATGCTGGGAACACTTGATTAATGCACTGAGACAGGTGAGGAGAATGACCCGCCGAGGAAAGCGATGGACTAAATTCATCTTGGATGTAACACCATCGAAGACAGTCTACCAGCTTTGTTCAAATATGGGCTCAGGGCATGACCCAAAGTCCTTGGAAGTCTTTCTGGAGCTTTGGTGTTAGGCTCCAGATCCAAAGTGATGCGTGGTGGCCGGTTTCAGGTTGGTCACCTCATGAGGATGGATGCTCATCAGCACCACGTCCATTGGTTGGGGCCTACACATTGTGCAGGAGGCAGCACGTTAGGCCTTATGGGTGTTCACTCTCAAACTTTGCGTGCATGCGTGCACACGCGTTATTAAGAGCTAGAGATCAGACTTCCAGCTTATCAAACACCAAAAATACCCCCCACTTAAAATGCTATGGATTTTTAGTATTTCTTCTTGGCTACTAAAGTTAACCAGCTTTTTGTCTGCACATATTTAATGTCCTAAGATGATTTTTAGACAATTTAGGAAAATCAGTTTAATAATCAGCTATAGGAAATTGATCTATGGTTAACGAGTTCCACTTAGCAGCAAATAAGAAAAGGATTCCACTCCTGGATTATAAAGGCTTGACAGCAAAATTACTTTTTAGAGGATGAGATTTTCAACCATTTTGGTTTGCTTCATTGGTTGAATCATGGGTTACTCCATACTTTGGGAAACCAAGCTGTGAGGTTCAGGAGAAATGTTGTCTATTAATCAGGGGAGCAGGGCAGTAGCTGCCAGGGAGGGGGAAGATCTGTTTTAAGGTACAAGAGAGGTTTGGCACAAGAAGAAATTAGTTAAATGATCATTAATAAATGTAGGTTGGCGAGCAGGAGCTTTGTACTGTCCGAGGAGCCCGACTGTTGCTCAGTCTTCCAGTAGGAACCATGGTGGTATGAGAAACCTTCGAACCTCAAGGACATTTAGGACTAAGATGTACACGGCGACATTTCTTGGAACGTGAAATGTCTTTGCTGGGATTAAAAGCACCAGGAGTGGCAGGTCTATCTGTCTTTGCTTCTCCTTGAACCTTGTTGTAATTGAAGTTGGTTTTGGTTTTTTTTTAAGGTCACCTGCAGATAGCAATAAAGTAAAAGTCTAGTTTGATGTGATTATATTTTTTTTAAGGTCACCTGCAGATAGCAATACAGTAAAAGTCTAATTTGATGTGATTATATTCTCCCGTTGCACGCTGGTATCTGCCCGTGGCTGGGGAGTGAGTCAGGATGCCCCACACACTCTGTTGCCATCGTAACGCTCCTCCTGAGGGCTCTGCTGAAGAGTGGGCCCTGCCATGACTTCTTTTCACCTATCGTGTTGTACAGGAGGGTTTGGAAACACTGTCAGGAGCACGTACTGAAGTATTTCCATGGAAGTGACCCCGTGGGGCATCCTTCAGGCTTGCGGCCTGTCAAAATCCCATGGGATTGTCCTTGCCTTGCGTAACAGAGGTGTGGGTCGGATGCCTAATGCGTTTGGTGTGCAGGAAAAGACTAAGAGAGGCAACTGCATCTCAGAGGGAAGGCTGGTTTCTGCAGTAGGCATTAGCTGGCAGCGGAGGTGTTTCTTTGTGGGGCAGGCCAGCCTGGTGGCTAGACACTAACCAGCAGAAGAAAGCACAATCAAAGTACCTTTTCCCCCCACACACACCTCTTTTCCTGTGCACAGGGAGTTCTACCAACTGGTGCAGCTGGTCTCATTAAAAATCTTTAGCTGGGAGGTAGTTGAGTCAGCTCTGGTTAGTAACTGAGCAAAACCTGTGGGCTGGGTAAGCTCCACTGCTGTAATTTTGCAGTCCTGAGGCCAGCGTGGTTTCCTGTGATCCTGGATGCGCATCCAGATGAACCTGTAGGAAGTTCTCCGTGGGAGGGCCTCTCTGTGCCTGGCAGCCCAGGGCAGAAGGTGCACGGCAGGAGAGGCTGGAGTTGTTAGCTGGCTCCTTCCTGAAACGGAGCGATCTGAAATGTAATGTTTTAACAAAATCCCTACGGGCCCCTGCTGCTTCCCTGGGTGAAGTGGTGTAACTCAACTGTCTCCGTCTTCACGCCTGCCTGCTGGAGGTTATGTGGTGGGGAAGGCTCTCAGGAGCCCTAAGCCCTTGCTTAAATAATTAAATTAAATTAAATACCTTCCATGGGTGCCCCAGCCCCACTCCTGCCTTCTGGTGCTGCAGGTAGCAGCAACCCGCTTCACAGATGGGTTTTGAAATCTATTTTCACGCATGTTTCCTTAACGATTTCCTCATTTCCCCCCCACACCCTCCCCCCAATCCCTAATTCCTTGTTACTCCAAGCCTGGAGTTGCTGATCACGGAAGCAGAAAAGCGCTATTCCCAGCTTCCCAGCCTGTATTTAGAATAAAATCAACATTTCCTCCCTCTCCCATCTGATGATGTGTTAAATGATGCTTAGCTCCACTGCAGCCTGCCCCAATGGGGCAAGGGTGTAGAGGGGTGTAGAGAGGTGGGGGCCGGTCTCTTTTCTCAAGTCACAGGCAACAGGACAAGAGGAAATGGCCTCAAGTTGCGCCAGGGGAGGTTCAGGCTGGAGATTAGGAAAAATTTTTTCACTGAAAGGGTTCTCAGGCATTGGAATGGGCTGCCCAGGGAGGTGGTTGAGGCCCCATCCCTGGAGGTGTTCAAAAGCCGGGTTGATGTAGTGCTGGGAGGTCTGGTTTAGTGATGATGCTCCTTGTTTGTTGTGTGGGTGTCTATTTTTGTCAGTTAGGTTGACGGTTGGACAAGATGATCTTTAAGGTCCCTTCCAACCTAGAAGATTCTGTGATTCTGTGAGATGCTGTCCTCCCCCTGTGTATCGATATGCATGGAGGATGTGACTGAGCATATGTCAGAGGTATCAAGGGTGCTCCAGAGGTTCTCCAGAGCCCTTTCTCACTCCACCCCTCTCCCTTTGCAGGCCATGGTGGAGACAGTGAACAACCTCCTGCAGCCGCAGGCTCTGAATGCGTGGAGGGACCTGAACGCCAGCGAACAGCAGCGGGCGGCCACCAAGCTCCTGGACACTGTGGAGGACAGTGCCTTCGTGCTGGCTGACAACCTGCTGAAGACAGACATTGTCCGGGAAAACACTGACAATATCCGTAAGGGACAGATCTCATAAATACCCAGAGTAAAGGCTGGGAAATCTGGCTTTGGTCTTGGCCCCAAGATTAACTGGAGAGCAATTTGTTAGATACGCCTTAGCCCTCTGTCTGAAGGACTTAAAAGTCTTTCCAAAAGACCCTAAAGGAATAAGGCAGCTCTCTCCCCTTGACATCCCATTGAAAATGAGCACCTAAAACCTGCCTTTATTAGTCCTGGCTTTGAGGGCAAAATCTGCGCTAGAACAATGAGAGCACAGCTTCACGGGGAGATTGTTCATCGTAATGCAATTGTGTTTCATTTCATACAAATTTGTGTCTTTATTTCGCTGATTGTTGATTTTAATTAAAAAACAAGCATGATGGAATCACCAGCACTCCCACTGTGCATATGGAGAATGAGAACAACTCTTCTTTCTATTTTTGTGAATACAGATCCTGAGCACTGATAACATTTAGAGAAAGTACCAATCGCCAGTGGCAAAGAACTAGCATTTTCAGATTCTCATTTTAACCATTGTCCTTAATATCCTGAGGTTCTTGTTTACAAGAACTGGTTGTATTTTGTCTTCCACGGAGAGTAGAATTTATTTGCCTTTTTTTTTTTTTTTTTAATTAAATCTAAAACTTCTTCAGGGCAAAGATTTAAAAAGAAATAGGAGCCCAAACAGAGTCTAGCATGAAACATTGTAAGTTGATTATTCTGCTCTCAGGTGGTCTGGAACACCATTTTGTTGCTTTGAAGTATCATGTGGAAGATTATTTCGGTAGAGATATTTTCTTAGTGTCGGTCTGTCTTGCAAACAGAGCTGGAAGTTGCGAGACTTAGCACAGATGGGAATCTGGAAGATCTGAAGTTTCCCCAGAACATGGGCCATGGGAGCGCCATTCAGCTGTCAGCAAATACCTTGAAACAAAATGGTCGAAACGGTAGGTTTAATCGCTTTACTAATATTTAAATTAACAGCATCAGTTGCTTATGCCCTTGACTGCAAGCTAAGTTGGCTGTCTGGGAATGTATTATATTGCTAAGTCATTCACAGCCTTCAAAAGTATGATTTGCTGGTAAAAATACCCCAGATCCTGAAACGATGTGGCTGTTGGGGCACAGCCCTGACTCCAGAGAAGGGCTTTAAACTGCTGTTAATCTGCAGCAGGAGGCTTCAGGTGGGATACAAGGCTTGTTTGAGTATACGGCTCCAGTGCCCCCCTGTGAAGAAGAAGCAATAGTAGCAAATATTAATAATGAACCAACATGGCAGAAAAGGTTGATTAAATGTTATGAATCGAAATCTTCAGTGTCTTTCTTTCTGAAGCTTATGAACCTCGTGATACAATATAAATTAAAGATGGAGTTATACGTGAATGGTCTTCATGCTGCCAAGCAATTTATCTCCAGACCAGGAATTTGAGCAGACACATTTTTTGATCTCTGTGGCCCTGCTATAGACCAAATTCAAACTCCAAGGCTTTCTAACATGCTCCTATTTCTGAGTTCCTTTAAAATTTAACCTGTGTGCAAGGGGAAAGCACTCCAGTACAGGCTTTGATTACCGCAGGCAAAACATGGAGTGATAGGGCAGTATTACAGCCAGACCAGATGGATTAAAACTGCCAAAATGGCACTTAAAACTGCCAAAAATTTCTGACAACTGTTAAAGAAAAGTTTGTTCTGGTGGTTCAAAAAGAAAGTTTGACCGTTGACTTCCTTGATGGAGTTTGGTACCTTTGCATGTAGGATTTAAAGAGAAGTATTTCTTTCGGAGACAGTGTAAAACCTAAGATGCGTAGCAAAACTCCAGCGGGGCAGGAGTTTCACTCCACTAGTGGGCTTTGGAGATTTGAAGGGAAAGAGAAACTGTGTCGACATTGAGGAAAGGGAATTTTGTCTTTCTAAGCATGATATCACTGGAGTTCTGGTCAAATCAGGAGAGCCCCATCAATTTGCACCAGGTTGGCACCTACCTAAAGGTCACCAAAGAGCAAGAAATAAAATTATCATGGAAGGATTTAGGTTGGGAGGGACCTTTGGAGTCATCAGTGCTTCACCTTCCTCAGAAGCTGGGGTGATTCCTATAGAAACAAAAAAAATACCTTCCCACAACTAATACATATAAAGCCAAGCTAATCACATTCAATTCTTATTTATAGCCTGTGAAATAATGAGCAAAACAGAAGGGAAACTGGAGGGTTTCAGTTAAAAACAGTTGGCTGGTAGCCTGGGTTTTCCGCAGGCTCCCTAATGCTGGTTTGTTGGGGGTTTTTTTGTGGAAGAGAGGATATCTGATTGGCAAATTAAGAGAAGAAGTTTATATCTTTTAATGACATTTCTGCAATTTTGTTTTACCCTTCATGTGAGATTGGAATTGCGTTGGAAAGTTTTGGATTCCTTCCCCCAGATTTGTCCTCAGTTTTTTCTGAGTAGTCTTAATTTATTAATGGACTCTAATTATAGTTTTATACTGCATCTGTGCCACCCACCAGAACAAAATATAGATCATAGAATGGTTAGAGTTGGAAGGGAACTTAAAGGTCATCAAGTTCCAACGTCATGGGCAGGGACACCTCCCACCAGACCAGGTTGCTCCAAGCCCCATCCAGCCTGGCCTTGAACCCCTCCAGGGATGGGGCAGCCACAGCTTCTCTGGGCAACCTCTTCCAGTGTCTCACCACCCTCACAGCAAAGAATTCCTTTCTGGTATCTAATCAATATTTCAATAAATCTTTCAATTTAAAGCCATTACCCCTTGTCTTGTTGCTACACTCCCTCATAAAGAGTCCCTCCCCAGCTCTCCTGTAGGCTCCCTTCAGGTACTGAAAGGCCATTATAAAGCCTTTCTCCCTGAAGCCTTCCCTTCTCCAGGTTGAACAACCCCAGCTCTCTCAGCCTGTCTTCACAGCAGAGGTGCTCCATCCCTCTGATCATCTTTGTGGCCCTTCACTGGACCCGTTCCAACAGGTCCATGTCCTTCCTGTGCTGAGGACTCCAGAGCTGGACACAGAGCTCCAGGTGTGGACTCACCAGAGCGGAGTAGAGGGGCAGAATCACCTCCCATGACCTGCTGGCCACACTGCTTTTGATGCAGCACAGGATACGGTTGGCTTTCTGGGCTGTGAGCACACCTTGTCAGCTGATGTTGAGCGTCTCATCCACCAACAGCCCCAAGTCCTTCTCCTCGGGGCTGCTTTCAATCCATTCTCTGCCCAACCTGTATTTGTGCCTGGCATTGCCGTGACCCAGGTGTGGGACCTTGCACTTGGTGTGGTTGAACTTCATGAGATTTGCACGGGGCCCACCTCTCAGTCCTGTCTAAGTCCCTTTGGATGTCATGTTTCCCAAGCATATCCTGGAGAATAAACTGTTATGTCAGGTGGGAAACGGACCACCTGGCCTCTTTTCTCTGGAGCCAGTTACACTCACTGATGCCAAAAATAAGCCCACCTTCTCTGTCTCCAACTGGTCTGTTTGCTTATAAAAGTTTGTTTTAAAAGAAGCAGCTCTGCCCTTCTTATCCACGGACTGCTTGTTGCACCTCGAGGTGCTCATTGGGGTTGGCAGGACAAGGTGAATTTTCTTATCCCATGTCTTGGTCCTGTCACATTTTCCTAGAGAAGTTCTAAAGTTGGTTCAGAGAAGAGAGCTGAAAAAAAAATCACCCTAATGAGCTAACCTGGATATATAACCTCTTACTGCTCTTCTAGGTGAAATCAGGGTGGCTTTTGTGCTGTACAACAACCTGGGCACCTATCTCTCCACGGAAAATGCCAGCATGAAACTGGGAACAGAAGCAATGTCGACTAATCACTCTGTCATTGTCAACTCCCCTGTCATCACAGCAGCAATAAACAAGGAGTTCAGCAATAAGGTTTACCTAGCTGATCCCGTGGTGTTTACCGTCAAGCACATCAAGGTGAGTGAGTTCAAAAAGCGTTTCTTTTTTTTTTTTTTTTTTTCAATTTCTAAAACAAAGTGATGCAAAAGTTGGCTGATGTGAGGCCCCCAGCAGTCCTTGATCAGATTTTGAATTATACATTTTTTCCTTTGCTCTTTGTGTTACTTACGGGGAGTGTCTCTTCTACATTACATTAATAAAAGTCAAGAAAGAGTCTCCTTTGAGCTGATGCCCATTGCTCAGTTGCTGACACACGTCATTCTGTAATTAAAAACTACCAATATATTAGAAAGACCATAATATTATTTTATCATGGTGGCAGGGGATATTAGAGGAAAGTGGAATTAGAGTGAAAGAGGACAGCTAGTCCTCCTGCTAGCCAAGCACAGTCATTACAAAAGTTGATTGCTTAAAGCAATTAATTTCTCTGCTCTGCAATGCAAATGAAGCAATCTGCTTTTGGAGAGCTGGATTTAGTCTGTGGCTGAAATTAATCAAGAACAAAGAACTAAGTTCACATTAGCAAAGAGCACAGCAACAATCTAACTTTCCCTGGTATCAGCAAGTAATACTTGATGCATGAAACACTGCTGATTGTTTATCCAAAATTGAAGGGTGCGAGTTACAAAGTGCCTCTGGGAAAAAAAAAAAAATGGTGCATTTGGAAATCTCTGAAACCCTACCATTTTTATGGCATTTAGTATTTTTTTCCCTGCAGCAGTCAGAAGAAAATTTCAATCCGAACTGTTCATTCTGGAGCTACACAAAGCGTACGATGACAGGGTATTGGTCCACCCAGGGATGTCGCCTCCTGACAACCAACAAGACACACACCACATGCTCCTGCAATCACCTAACCAACTTTGCAGTCCTGATGGCACACGTGGAAGTTAAGGTAGGTGTTGCAAATTCAAAGGCAGCCAGTGCACTGGGCAGGAAAAGTGGCCCATGTAACACGATTTTGTGGAGCTGAGCAGAGAAATTGCTGTGTGACAGTAACTCTAACAGTAGAAACCATCTGGTGTAAATCTTCCTTCTGCTGTATGGTGAGACAGGAGATAGTCACACCAGTGCAAAGCTTGCTGTCCTGAGCTCCTGGCACGGGCCAGCTCTCAGCTGAGGATGGTGAGTGGGAGGAATTAGCTGGTGCCACATCCTTTGCTTTCTGGTGCAGAGCACCTCCTGGCTGAGTCCTTACTTGTGGGGTCCTCACTGTGCCACCAGGGAATAGTGAGCACCCTGGGTGATGGGATGTAAGCGTTGTGTGTCCTGCTCACAGCAGCTGCAGATGCACTGCCACACGTTTGTGTTAGGTGCACGTGTGGAGCCAAAAGTATTTTTCAGCTTCCAACGAGGGGAAAAAGATACATTCTCTGTGTCTCACCGTATGACAGTGAGCCATATGTAAAAGGGAAGTTCCTTATACCATCCTGCAGAGACTGTCCATCTGTCCAAGGCCAGTACGTGATCAGCTCATTCCCTTGCCTGCAGTTAGGTCCATGGAGTAATCCTGGATTCCCACATGTCTATCCATGCTGGAGCTAAGGAAGTTACTCCTGAAAGTAGTGTTCCTCTTGGTGACAGTGGCTTGAGGAGTGAAGTGCACATGTGGGATTTTACTCAAGAATGGGAGACTGGTTGAGGTGGTCCTCCATTTCCTAAGCTCTCTTGGCTGACTTTGGTTGAGAACAGTAGAAAGAAGATGAGAAGTCCCTGATGCCCCAGAGATTTTGGCCTAGTGATTTTCTGTGTTGTGGTGTCTCTGGTTCATGTGCCCTGCACTGCAGCAGAATCCATGGTTCTGAGCTGGATATGGATCTGACATCTTCCATGCAGCCAGAACATTTCACAGCCACTTCCGTGGCTGCATAACCACAAAAGCTATTATGGTTTTAAAGGACCTTTTCTCAGATAGTCTTCCAGTGTCACTCTTTAGTATATTTTTGTTTCACTTGATAATCTGAAGAGGAACGTGAAGAGCTGCAATAAAAATATGTATTAAAGCACTGTCGTGCATGACCAAAAGCTCTGGGAGCCTGGCAGCACATCTGTGACAGCAGCTGGGTCCAGCTGAGAGAGGCAGGATGGATCTGCTGCTGCTGCAGGATGGTGGATCTGCTGTATTCTGCAGGAGTCACTGCCCGTCTAGGAGACATGCCATTAAATGGCATCATCCTGAGAGATGCCTGAAGAAACGGCCTATTCAGAGCCCGTGTTTGCAGGTTAACGGCCTTCTCCGGCCCAAGGCCGGTTTTGCCGGTTTCCTAGAACTGCTGGAATTTTCGAAAGAAATGTCTGTTTGACTCTTTGCCTGGAGTTAATCGATACACCGAAGCCACTGAAGTGAGGGGTTGCAGCTGGGAAGTGCCGATGGCTTCCCACTCCACTGATGGTAACGAGGGCAGATACAGGCTGGGGCTGGGTAGGCCTCTTCTCAAACTGCAGGTAGGTCAGCCTGGTCTATACGGCGTTTCACCCAAACCTCGTTAGGCTCGTAGTGCCACTTTTATCTCATCTTGCAAAAAAGAGAATGTGAGACCTTTGCTTGTTTGTGCTCAGCCAACGGTTTTGAAGGAGCTACAGCTGGAAGCTTCCCCGAGTGCCCAGCCGGTGTGCTATTAGCCAGTGGATGTTTCTGGGTGTTAACAAGTGCCCTCAGGACCTCAGGTCATGTTTTATCGTTTGGCTACAGACAAAGTATCATTGCTGTAAGAGCCAAATTGGCTCCACTTTGTTGACTCTGATGGAACCGGACAGCTTCCTGGCATGTCCACTAGAGTGATCATCCTGCTCCGAGGGCAAAGGCAGGTGCATTCCCTGCAAACATCTGCAGCTCTTCCCTCCAGCTGCTCCTCACCCTGCTCTGCCTGGTGGCACCAGCCCGCTCCAGTCTGCTGGTGAACTTGGCTAAGCAGCTCTTGGCAGATCTGGGAGGTGGCTGGTATGACAGTCCTTATGCTCTTCAGTGAGTCGATTTTAAAGTCTTGGCAGCAGAATACCTGCAGATTTGGAAAGGTGGAGGTTTAAAAATAAATGGGGGTTGTTGTCGTTCACTGACTCACACTCATCTCTTGTAAGCATGCTTTCCAGCCATTTTGTTGACTCGTGTCTTGTACAAAAAGGCATTCCATGCCTCAGAGCCCTTCTAGTCTTTTTGGAGGTGGAACTATCCTTGGGGAAAGGATGTTGTGTGTTTGTGCAGGACCTCTTACAGCAGCGTTCTGGCCCATGACTAGGATGCCTAAAGAGGACTGTTGTAGACACAATAATTAACAACATACTGGGAGTTTTGGAAGAGAAGCAATTTTCTCCTGTAATTGAGATTTGAAGTTTACTGGCTTCGGTTTGTTGGGGTTTGGGATTTGTAGGGAGCATCCTTTGGTGTAATGAGTATCCTCCACAATGAGACCGAACACCAGGCATCGCGAGGAGCGACACCAGAGCCCTTCTCCTTAATCAAAAGCCAGCACCAGTTTGACAAGTGTCACTTGGGGTCGTGAATGATCTCCCTCCCTGGTAGCATGTCAAAAGAGTGTGTTCTCTGCAGGAGACCTTGGTGGCTGCTCTGCAAGTTATAGGCTGGTATTTAATTATTAGCAGAGTGTATGTGGCAAGGCGGAGCTGGAAGGTAGTGCCGCTGAGGAGGTGATTGATACCCGTCTGGCTCTCCAGCGTGAAACAGCAATATATCTTTGTCCAAAGGGGCAAAAAAAAATGACATTGGCTGACCATGGCGTCAGGGATTTATTGGTGTGCTTCAAAAGTAGAAGCTGCTGGGATCAGTTCCAGTCTTAATAGGACAGTACCTGATTAAGAGGAGGAGGAGATTTTAATTTGAAGATGCTTTCTGCCCGTTCAATTAGCTGGGCTCAGAGTTTCATATTCACCCATATATTTCAGTGGGATAAATAAACAGTGACCAAGACCAAGAGGCTGCTGTGCACGCAGGCAAGACGTATAGCTGCTGGGAAGAGCGATGGACTTGCACCCTCCAGTACCCTTCCAGCTGCTCTCAAAGCCCCAGTTAGCATGGGAAGAGGACAGCAGGACCATAATGACCTGGGAGCTGGACCTCACTGGTGCATCCTCCTGGCAAGGGGTGACCTTAGAGACCTGCAGCATTTGTGGCCCTTTCCGGCAATTTACCAGGAAAAATTAGAACTTCCTTTTGGGGAGAGATTTTAAGACTTGGAAACAAATCACTTTTTTTTTTTTTTTTACATCAGCTAAGAAGTTCATTTGACTTGTGTTATGGCAAAATTATTACAGTCTCATAGATATTTTATTAAATGACGAGATTTGTTTAACATAGAGGAGATCTATGTTAACTATCTCTCTATTGTTTGAATCAGTAGGATATTTGTTATGACCCTTAAATGCTATAAAAACATGGTGATTCCCATGCCATGGGACAAAGCCCATACTCAAATAAGCCATTCTACCTATATAATTGCTGCAGATTTATTCAAAATTTACCAGCTGTTTTTCATATAAGCTTGTGCTTTGCATCATATTAGTTATAGCAGATGCATCTTAAATGTACCATGGGAAAAATATGCTGCCAGAAAACAAGTTCAGAGCTGGTGGGAAAATGCAATTAGAAAACCCACCCAAAACAAAATAAGCAAAGGTACCTTAGGGTAGATAAGTGTTGCTTATCAGTATGTAGTGAATATCAGAGCTTACTTTTCTTTAAAAATAAATAACTAAATAAAACAAGAGGGAAAAAAGAAAGGTGTTTTAACTGTAGCAATTAATTGGAAGCTTTCACATGTTATTCTATACTGCAAAGATGTTACACCGTGCTAATTATTTGGGGAATGGAAGGGTAAGGCAAGCTAAGGAGAAAAAGGAATAAAAGTATATGAAGTCTAAATAGAATGCAGTGGTCCACTGCCCTGAAGCAATACAGACATTTCAAATACAGAGAGCAAGCTGAAGTTATTGCAGTGCTGGCTTATCCATATATTAGCAGTTGTGGGATTGAACAGCAGTGAATGAAAGAAGAAGTGGGTGCAGGATTGCAAAAAAAACCCCAGCCCCTAACTGGAGAATTAAATTACTGAAGCCACTATGTGATGAATTTTGCAAGACAAAGCATTTTGTACCATCAAAGGGGTTAATTCTCAAAAAAAAAAAAAAATAAAATTACAGATTGGAAAAAGTAACGTATTGTTATATGTTATTAAATAAGAACTGTTTTAACGAAGCAGAAAAGTTATGAAATGTGCTTGTCTTGTTTTAAAATTCAAAATACAGCAGTATTTGAGGTTGTGTTAGGAACAGAAACCTGTGACTTGAATGACTCAAGAATAAGGAGTTGTAAACAGCACGTTATCCCTTAGGCCAGATAGAATCATAGAATCATTGAGGTTGGAAGAGATCATCGAGTCCAACCATCTCCCCTACTCTACAAAGTCCTCCCCTACACCATGTCCCTCAGTACCCCATCTAAACGTCCCTTAAACACATCCAGGGACGGTGACTCAACCACCTCCCTGGGCAGCCTGTTCCAATGCCCGCCCCCTCTTTCAGTAAAAAATTCCTTCCTAATGTTCAATCTAAACCTACCCTGTTGGAGCTTGAAGCCGTTCCCTCTCGTTCTATTGTTAATTACCTGTGAGAAGATATACCCATTAGGTTGAGTAATGTGTGCCTCTGAGCTCCATTGTACCCGGTGGCAGTGCTTGAGGTTTCTGTCAAGGTAGGCAGCGAGTCACTCGGTGGAGTCTGATGCACACATTGTTTTGGGCTGACATCTGGTTGTGTCTCACTGTTTCTAGATCTCTCAGGTTTGACATCTTGCTCTTCCTTGTCTGTGCATTCTCTGGCACCGGGCTGGGTCAGACCATCGGTGCCACAGCAGAAGCTGATGATGCTGCCATCAAATGTTTT